ATTTGAAAGTCGACATAAACTTTTATTTGTCCAACACTATAAATGGAAAACTGAAGTTCAAAAAATAGAGGTTTATCCATTCGTATACATATATTAGTTCTTCGGCAACACATAACATTCTGCAATCACATTAACAAACAGATTAACAGAGTATTTCTGCTCATAATATGGAACCCTCGATAGCAGTTAGTTAGCTAATGGCTGAAAAGGCTACTGAGGCTATGAGAAACTATCTAAGTATCTAATGGGACTAATTCTGCATTTTTTAGCAATTCCATTTGTAACCCGAAGTCAGCTAGTACAGTAGAAATTGTCCGAGCAGATTCAATAGTGAAGAAGCATATGAAAAAAAAAAGAAAAAATGCTAATGTAACTAAAGTAAAGCAAATGTAAAGCAAAGATCTTCAAAACAATCAATATCTCAAAGAACCGGTGGAAGAATTTTTTTCTAGAATCGATATTAAAATTATATTTACATAAAAGTCAATAATTTAGAAATTAAAATTATAAAATCACTGGGAAGGCAAGGAGGTAGCTCTCTTTTATGTTTTTGAGAAAATGTATGGAGTTTACATGAAGAAAAAAAAATTTCACCGTCCCGGCTTTTATTGACTACATTTATGCATATAATTAATTACAATAAACAGTTGATATTAAGACATTATTAAATGCCTTTATTAACCACTTCTCTTGTAGTACAGAAAGAAAGCAAAAAAGAACTACTTCTTTAATAGTTTTTTTTTTTCAAATTAAAAAGTAATTTCTTGTTAATAGAATATAAATTGAGAAAAAATATGCAAATTATAGCCAAGTTGGACCAATTGAAGTCGTTTGTAAATTTTTTTTAATACGGCGCAGTGTTGCCAAACGTACCATTTTTATGGTATACGAGTATGAACTATCTTTTATTTTCTTGTATCGTAAAAAATTTTGAATTGTCATTTGACATTTTTGTTAAAAGAAAAGAGGTAAAATTAAATAGACAAATAATAGGACAACAAACACGGTTAACATATTTGCGATAATTATTTTAGAATAAAAACTCTGCGATATCTCTACTTGTTCGCATTGTTTTTTTTTTCTTGTAGATGAATAATACTTTGGAACGGTTGGAGTTTTTTAAATGTTCTCCTTTTTATACCCGTACGAACGTATGTTCGAAGGGTATACTAAATTTGCCTTACCGTTTGTAACGCTAAGAAATAACGGTGTCAGATATAAACTCAAGTGTATGTTTTTGATCAGCGTCAAATTCTGAGTTGATTCAGCTTTGTCTGTCCGTCCGTCCGTCCCAACGATAACTCAAAAACTAATTGAGCTAAGTTCACAAAATTTTCACAAATGATTTATTGTACTAATTGCCAGAACCCTATTTAAATTGGACATGATCGGGATACCGATCGGGTAGGTGCCATACAACTTCAAAATTTATTTGGCTATATCTCAGAAACTATAAAAGTTATGGTATTGAAATTTCACACAAACGAATATATTAGTAGGGCCAATATGCCCCATAAAAGTCGTTGAAATTACTTGGCTCCTTCTGGTACCTGCCATACAACTTCAAAAGTTATTTAGCTATATCTCAGAAACTATAAAAGCTGTGATATTGAGATTTCACACAAGTGAATATATTAGTAGGGCCGATGTGTCTGGTAAAAGTCGTTGAAATTACTTGGCTTCTTCTGGTACCTGCCATACAACTTCAAAAGTTATTTGACTATATTTCAGAAACTATTAAAGCTATGGTATTGAAATTTCACACAAACGAATATATTAGTAGGGCCGACGTGCTTGATAAAATTCGCTAAAATTTCTTGGCTCTTTCTGGTAGCTGCCATACAACACCAATAGTAGTTTGGCACAACCAGTATTTTGAATAACACATAGTACTGAAATTTTGCATAAATTGATATGGTAATACGGCAACTTAAAGTCATAGTCTGCCCATTGTTAGTTATGGCACATTAGTTATTCGCACATAGGATAACAAATTCGTACGGGTATCACAGAGTCGACAAGGTCAACTCAATTTTTTTTCTCGTTTTATCATAAATTTTTACCGAAATTTTTTTAATCGAATTCATTTTTCATTACCAACCGTATTGTATATACAATAGGTAGATTATGTGATGGCAATAAATTTTGCATATCGAGTTTTTGGTGGAAATGCACTTCTCCATAGTAGGGAAATGTAAGTAAACTATTTTTAGCAATCGGTCTATCGGTCTGTTTGTGCACGCGCGTATCTCAAGTTCGGTTAAAGCGATTTTGATGAAATTTTATATGTATGGAAGTTTATTTCAACAATGGCACGGATTGATCAACTTTTGGGATATATCAAGCCTCGGGAACTGCACTTTTTAGCGGGCCTGTTTTACATTTTTGACCATTTTAAAGAAAATATTCAACCGATTTGCTTGAAATTTTATATATAAGCTTCGCTCGACCGTCCGCGAAACCTCCTGACTTTTGGAAGAAATCAGGTGTCAGCAAATAGATGTTTACTACGGGCCAAATATAAATTTTTGCGTTATAAAGAGAAACCGATCAACTGATTTCATTGAAATTTAATATATAAATTCTTCGTACAATTAACATATAAATTTTTTGGAAAGATCAGGGCTCGAAAACTGATCTGCAGGCCGATTTTACATTTTTCACCATATCTATGGAGCGAAGTGATGAAATTTGTTTAAATTTGATATTGGAGTTCTAGTTGCTACCGAAACTAACTAGTGACCATTTCAGGGAATTCGGGTAGCACAAAGCGGAATTCTACTAAGAGCCAAATTTACATTTTTCTAGGTATGTTAACTATTAACTTACTAATGTACTAAAAAATGGAAAGAAGTATTTAACAGACATTTTTATAATATTCTGGAACACTTTCACTTATCTAGACAATGCCCATTGCGGTCGGTCACCACATCAGATATTTTTATGCTTTGATATTGATCTTCTACTTGCAGTTTTAAAACATTTTTATGTGCTTCGCTGATTTCGCTGTAACATCTATTTTTAAAAATTTTTTTTACGTATTTTCGATTCAATACAGAAACATACCAAAAATGTTGAATAAGTTATTATGTTTATATATACATACATACATATTTAAATATGGAAAATTACCTAATTCCTGTAAAGTACTTAAAATTAATAAAAAAAAATGAATAACTTTTTGGTCTCTGGTACCATGATTTTAGTTTCTCTGCCAATTTTTGAAATTCAATTTATGGCAGCTCTAATGCGGTGGCCTACACCAACAAGCGCAGAGACAAAACTATCAGTTCTTAAAACTTTAAACTGTTCTGAGCTGTTGTTGCTCGATTTTCTCATTCCCTTCTTCAAAATGTACACACGTAGCTCCAACATGAATACTAAATATACAAAAAATTAAAATAAATTTTGCCTTGAAAAACTTGTATTAAATTTCCGGGACCGAAATATTCCTAAATTACTTATATGTATATGTATATCGAGATACGTACAAGTACATATTTTTTAACTTCATAATAAAAATTAAAAGTAAATAATTATAGAAATATAAAGATTTTATTATTAGAGTAATAATATATAAATTTATATTTTCAATAGAAAAACACAAAATTAAATGTGGGAAAGTCGAAAGAAGCTCTTTTGTGTCCAACTCTATAAATGAAAAACAGGAGTTCAAAAAAATAGTGGTTTATGCATTCGTACACATATATAGGAGTTCTTCGACAGCACATAACGTTCCGCTATCATTTTAACAAACAGATTTCAGCTCGATATACGGAACTCTTGATAACATACCATGTTAGTTAATTAGCTAACGACTGCAAAGACTACTGAGGCTATGAGAAACTATCTAAGTATGTAATGGGACTAATTCTGGATTTTTTAGCAATTCTATTTGTAACCCTAAGTCAGATTCAATAGCGAAGAAGCATATGCAAAGAAAAAGAAAAAAAGCTAATATAACTTTCTTGTAAATGTGTAGCAAAGATTTCAAAACAATACCTCAAAGAATACTAACCGGTGGAAATTCCGTTTCAACCTCTTGGTGCCGAAAAGTTAGGATTATTAAGAGACTGCTCTAAGTATGGCGGTTGACATTTACAACTGGTTGTTACTCTATTCATTCAGTCTACAATAAATTTTGTTTTGATTTAGAAACAACAACTTATTAATCGAGTCTACCAAGAAAACCTTAATTCAGTTTTTCGATTTTCAGTTCTTGATTAAAATTGCGTTTCAAGTTTTTGGAACACATTAGTCCCAAAATATCTCTAATAGCAGATTCAAAAAAATTTTACACGTAATTTGAAATGCTGCACACATATTATTACGTACATATTCGCTCCTGCTCCATATAGTATTTTTTATGAGTCCAATAAGTTAAAGACAAAATTAAGAAAATCGGTATTTTAAATTCGATTTCACTGATTTTGGGTTCTTTTTTCTTACAAAATTCTGTTTTATAAAATACTAGTTTTGCCCTTTGAGAGTAAAATTAAAATATGGGTTTAATTGAGTAAACAAAATTAAATGTCAATTCAATAAAAAAATAGAAAATACAGTCCCTAAGAATAAATAGCTGAAACACAAGAATATTCAAGTTAAATAAAATAATCAAAGAAGAGGTTGATAGTATAATTACTACAAAAAGAGATTACATAATTTAGACTATGAGTCTAAATTATATACATAATATGTGTATATGTATCGAAGTAAACCTGTATATTGACCGGAGAAAAAAGTTTATTTGATTATAATTGTTTTTTTGTTTTGAGCAAACTTTTTTTTTTTGAGCAACTCTTTTATGACGTATGTGTGATGCATAATAACTGAGCTAACGATATTCATCGATTACATACCTTGGTAAAGCTCAAATGGAATTATGTACTAATCTCATAACAAATTTGGCTTATCTTTGATGATATAACGTCATACCTTATATACATATGTGCCTATACAAATAAACATTAACATTATAAGTGCTTTATTACGTAACTTACCATCATGTAGGGGATCAATTGTATGTATCATTAACTGTAACAATCCATGACGAAATTTTGCTTTTGTATGATGATGATGACCACCATTACTATTGCTGCCAGTTCCACTTGAACCAGGCGGAACAGATCTGGTTTCAGAAGCTGCTCTCGAAGTTACTGAACCACCAGTTTGGGTCACCATTGAAGTTTCTGATGAATTAGCAGCGTTACCCTTATATAAAACATAATTTATATATTAGTTGTATATATATATGTACATAAATACGCGCATATTTTACTTAAAACAAAATTTATATATAGTAATCCCCGGACAAGTGTGTCGAGTAAAACGATTTTCTGCGCAATTAATCGGGAAAATCAGTTATTTGAATCCAGCTTAATTGCATTAGCAAATCAATAGAGCGGGAAATTTCCAAATATGCTTCAAAGTCAATAAAACTAAACTAAAGTAATTATAATTACGTATAATATCATAATGTACATATTTATTAATTAATAGTTAAATAAAAAAAACAAAAACAAAATAAAATATTGCATTATTTCAGTTTAGATAAAAACAATACATAACATAAAAACAAAAGAAAATACATAATGATTTAATTCAGTATATAAAAAGATATTTTTTTTAAATTAATAAGTATAATTTTATGCATAATAAATACGTATAATTTTTTAAAAAGTATTTTGTAATTTTTGTTTGATTTTCATTTTTATTATAAACTAGTTCTTCAACTTCTTCTAAATGAGTTGAAAATTGGTCTGTTACGGATAAATATTGTCTAAGAACGTTATAAATATGCACACAAAAATATAACTAGTTTTATATTCAATCTTACCTCAGTGTAATTAACAATTAATCAAAGAATGTTAAATATTTAAAGAAAAATTGTATTCTTAACTTAAAATAAAATTCAAATAAAATCTTTGAAATTCATAATTAGAAATAAATTACCAAAATATTTTATTTGACAAATAATTTACACTGATGGTAAAAGAGAAAATGAGTAAATTGTACTAAAAACTTATACTTCAAAAAACAAAAGGAAATACATACATATAATAAAGTACATGATGCAATAAAACGGAAAAATTTAACATATTTTTATACGTGGATTAAAGAAAACTAAAGCAATTAAGCGAGAAAATCAATTAATTCGGAAAATCAATTAAACGCAAAATCAATTGATCCTGAAATCTGTGTATTCGTGTATAGGAACGGAACAATTGCAAAATTTTTTGCTTAGTTAAGTGCGCAACGCAATTAAATATAACGCAGTTAACCAAGCATTACTGTATATTGATTTTTTTTTAAATAATAAAATCAACTTAATTTTTAAATTATTTCAATTTATGTATATACTATTTTGTTGATTTCAATTTTTATACAAATTTTTATATCCGCTTATGATCTATTGCGAATTCTAAAACGGATATATTAAACTAGTGCCATATTAAACGTGTGGGTATATTAAACGCGTAGTCATAATAGTGTGCCAAATTTTTTGTATAATCTGGCCGTCAACTAAGCTAACTACAGAGACTTATGACCTTAGAACTTTTTAAGGAAGCAATAATAAGAATCAACCAAAATGCTATGGCCGTCTTTCAAAGTCCTTTATATGTATTGTAGAATATTATTCAAAAAACTCAATATAGAAGAGCACTATCACAAGGCAGACAGAAATACCATATTTGCTAGTATATTATTAACTGACAACGTGATAAAATTCAATATCTTAGGTATAAAAATTGTTTGCAAAATATTGTTGGCAAATTATTCAAAAGCAACAAATTAGCTTCATTACAACTAGGTTAGAGTGAACTAACCTCTGAAAAAACATTTAGTACTAACAAGTCGGAAAATGAATAAATTTTTTTTGCAATTTTTTTTAAGTTAGAAATAAAGCATTTTCCGCGAAAATATCATTGATTCAGAATCGCACCAATTTTACGCAGTGTGTTTAATAGGTGCTAATAAATTGGAAAATGCATCAATTTTTTAAAACAGCAAGTTTTTTTGCAATTTTCTTTAGCTTAATGGTGAAGCATTTTCAGCGAAAATATCATTGACTCAGAATAGCACTAAAATTACACTGTGTGTTTAATAAATGCTAACAACTCGGAAAATCATTGAATTTTTGAAAGCACCGATATTTTTTTTACGCCCCAAAATGACTCAATGTGTTTAATAGGAGCTAATAAGTCGGAAAATACATAAATTTTTGAAAAACCAAAATTGCAATTTTTTTTAATTTAACAATGAAGGACTTTCCGGGAAAATATCATTAAATAAATACCAATAAGATAGAAAATGCATAAATTTGTGAAAAAAATTGTTTTGCAATTTTTTTTCTCATTTTAATAGTTAAGCATTTTTCGCGCAAATATCATCGGCTCACAATGGCCCCAAAATGACCTAGTGTGTTTAATAAGTGCTAATATGTCGGAAAATGGATAAATATTTTAAAACAGTAAATATTTCTTGAAATTTTCCACATGGATAATGAAGCATTTTCCGCGAAATTATGATTTGCTCAGAATCGCACTAAAATTACCCAGCGTGTTTAAAAGTGCTAATAAGTCAGAAAATGCATAAATTTTTGAAACAAAAAAAAAAAAAACAATTTTTTTTTGCTATTTTATTTTTTCGGCTTAATAATTAAGCATTTTTCGCGAAAATATCGTGGGCTCACAATTGCCTCAAAATGACTCAGTGTGTTTAATAAGTGCTGATATGTCGGAAAATGGATAAATATTTTAAAACAGTAAATATTTCTTGAAATTTTCCACATGGATAATGAAGCGTTTTCCGCGAAATTATGATTTGCTCAGAATCGCACTAAAATTACCCAGTGTGCTTAAAAGTGCTAATAAGTCAGAAAATGCATAAATTATTTAAAACAATAAAATTTTCTTGCAATTTTTTTCAGATTAATAATGAAACATTTTCTGCGAAAATATCATTAATTGAGAATCGCACCAAAATTCCGCAGTGTGTTTAGTAAGTGCGAATTAGTCGGAAAATGATTTTTTAAAACAGTAAAATTTTCTTGCAGTTTTGTTTCAGCTGAATAATGAAGCAGTTCCAGCAAAAATATTATTGGCTCAAAATAGCACTAAAATTACCCTGTGTGTTTAAGTGTTAAATAAATGCTAATAAGACAGATGATGCACAAATTTATGAAAAAACCATAGTTTTTCTGCATTTTTTTTCGTTTTAATAATTACAAACATTTTCCGCGAAAGTATCATTGGATCACAATCGCCCCAGAATAACTTAATGTGTTTAGTAAGTGCAAGAAGCCGGAAAATTTATTAAATTTTTGGAAAAACAAATTTTTTTTTGCAATTTTTTTTCAGTTTAATAATTAAGCATTTTCCGCGAAAATATCATCTGCTCAGAATTTCACTGAAATTACATAGTGCGTTTAAAAATGCTAATAAGTCAGAAAATGCACAAAGTTTTTATAACAGCAAAAATTTTTTTTTCTGTTTCTTTTTCAGCTTTATAATGAAGCATTTTCCGTGAAAATATCGTTGGCTCAGGATCGCAGTAAAATTACCCAGTGTGTTTAAAAGTGCTAATAAGTCAGAAAATGGATAAATCTTTTAAAACAGCAAAATTTTCTTGCAATTTTTTTTTCAGATTAATAATGATACATTTTTCGAGGAATTATCAATGGCTCAAATTCCCCAAAAAGGACCCGGCGTGTTTAATAAGTACTAATAAGTCGGAAAATGGATAAATTTTCTAAAACAGTAAAATTTTCTTGCAATTTCCAAATTGATAAAGAGGATTTTCCAAAAAAATATCATTGGCTCAGAATTTCACTAAAAGTTACCCTGTTTGGGGCCTAAAACCGCACTGTCACCTCCTAGTGGTGAGCCCCAGTAATGGCGGAGGATAAAGGGGTGATTGAAACGATCAAAGTTACGTTCGTGTCGTGGTCATGTTTCGCGGCGAACCTCTTGCTTTATGAGTTTCAGCTCTATATCTATACGTCAGCTGACGATACGCGTCCCAAGTCAAGGTGGAACAGCATATGCCGGTGACTGCTTCGCTAAAGGGGAGCTTATTCGTTAATATGCGCACTCTGGATACCAGGCGCCCTCCAGTTTAAACAAGCCTCCCCATTGTATGCCGGGCTCTGCCATGGGTGACTATACTTTCCCGCGCTACTCGTGTGAACAAGATGGAAAACGAAAACAATAACAACAACAACAGCAACAACAAGAACAACAACAATAACAACAACTTGTGCTCAAGGGTTTGCGGAACTAGAGCTTCTTTCGACTGACGCAGAGGAGGAACTCCTTCTCACACTAGTAGAGGAAAAGTCGGTGCCTTCAATGGAGACGGATAATCAAGATCCTCTTGGACTTATTGTCCAACAAACTGAAGAGTACCTGAAAAGATTGGACATCAGGGAAAAAAAAATATTTCTCTGGTGCGTCCAAGCGGCGTATCGCAGCATACATCAGGGATTGCATGTCCCCAGATGAAGCTCGCAGATATGAGAAGGAAAGGCTAGAAAAGCTGAGGGCCTGCGGATCGGATGTTGTGGCCAACCATCCCCAGAAGAGGGAGGGGTCAGAAAGCAGCATCCCTGATGCAGGGCCCTCAAAAAAGAGATCGATGAAGGGCAATGTTGAGGAAATGGTCGCTGACAACATTCCTCAACAAAGCCCGAAAATGACTTCTTATCGGGATGCAGTAGCACAGGTCAAAGTGGCCATCACCCATACACTGCATCCAGAGCAAAGGCTATCCGAAGTCAAGATGGGGAAAATAAAAGTAGCTATCATGGATGAAATGGGTAACTTTGATAACTGCATGTTACGGATGGAAATCCGTAACATGCAGTTATCAAAACACCAGGGAGTGGATGACCAGTGTCTGCAGGAGGATAAAGCCTTGGGATGGCTGCAACGTCGTGGTACTGGATGGCGACGACATGCCCAAACATGCTTGTCTGCGTCACCTACGTACCAATGGACCGTCTGTCTTTCCAGGGACAAATTTCTAAGCAGGATAGGGAAGCAAAATCCCAGCCTGAAGATGAGTTCCTGGAGGGTGCTGAGGATGGATGAGGAAAGGCCAGGCGCCCACCAAGATGCGTGAAAGGGCGGCAATAAGAAGTAAGGTACATGTAAAGTCTTTATCTAAAGAGCCGGAGGAAATGATATGGCTGTGAGGCGCATCCAAATAAA